CCCCCGTCAGATTCAATATGAAGCATTTCTGTAATAATGCCAGTTCCTGTTACTACTGTAAAACGCCGATCGTTTGTAGTAATGCTGAGCCCTCCCTCCTCGTCAGTACAGTTACTTGTTTTTCATTTGTGTCTCATCTTTTTTTCCAGAGATGCTACAAAAGAACTCAGCCACATGAACATTAGCTGTCTGGAGTCTGTGGACTGACAGATGGTCAGGAGTCATCTTAACCACTGTTCGAGAGCGATGGAGACGTCCTGGAAGAGCAGGCCGGTCGCGCTCAAGTCTGGACGGAGATGTTTGTGCTCCGACTGGAATCTGGTGCTTTCAGGAAAACTGAGCTCTGAATACACCAGACACGCTTAGTATGTCTGTAGACTTGTACACTTTGCATGCATCTCTTTATTTTGCGCTTGTGTTTGTATATATTTTAAGATACTGTACATATTTGAATGTCTTTGTAAGGACTGTACAGTAAGTAGAACTCTGTTTGTTTTGTTGCATTATGAGATTAAGTGATCATCTGCACTTGTTTTTGAGGAACAGGCTGATTTTGATCTCAGGTGCCATCGGTCTCTGATGGTTATGGACTGACGTTATAGTAAATATGATATCATGATATTCATGCAGATACGGGCTCCTCCGCACATGTGACTCTGGTGGAGAATCTTTTCTCGGTCTCTGAAGCGTTTGTTGGGGAACCCGTACGATGTGCTGTCTCAGGGGAGTCTTTATTCGGACCTTTCTTTAAATCAATAAATCATGAAAATGAATGAAAACACAAATTGTTCTTCCGTCATAAACCAGAGCATTTCAGGACAAGTTACATTTTGCAGTTTAGTTTCAATCAACACTCTTTTAAGAGTCCATGCTCAGGCGGTAATTAAGCATCAGCACACTGGTAGTTCATGATTAACTGAACATGTACTAAAGGCAGGTCAGCACTAGCTCTGCGGTAGTTAAGCACGAACACACCAGTAATCAACAATTAACTGAACATACACACAAGGGCATATTAGCATTACTACAACTTATTAAACATTTTAAGAATAAGCAAGCAAAAATAATCCAGTAATTAATGGTTAACTGAATGTACAGTAAATGTAGTAAAAGTTAGATAGTTACAGTTGAGACATTCAGTAGAATAGGGAACACGTTCACTATATATTAAGAGTTTGTCTCAGTAAACTCCTAATTACTGCTTGTTAATAGTTAGTAAGGTAGCTGTTAAGTTTAGGATTAAGAGATCTAAAATATGCAGAATAAGGCATTAATATGTGCTTTATAAGCACTGATAAACAGTCAGTGTGTTAGTAATGCATGCTGATAAACTGCTAGTTAATAGTGAGAATTGATCCTTAAAATAAAGTGTTGCCAACAGATATTCTGTACTATCAGTAACTTTTGCAACTACATGTTAACTAGCTCTCAGTAGAGTATTAGTAGACTGTTAGTTTAGGGTTAGGGTTGGCAGAATAAGCTGCCTTTTAGCCATTATTTGCAATGTAAATGTCTTTATGTGTGTGATTTACCGTCTATAAAGTGAACCAAACAACAGGAATAATTACGTTAAATTAGTGCTGGTTTTACAGTTTTGAGTAACACATTACGGTGAAACTTTATTTTAAGGTGTCCTTGTTACACGTTACATGTACTTAC